CCCCAACCTGTACTGATACGGGGAGTTATTCCTCCCCAGATGCAGTACCCTACACTTCCCCTTGTTGAACCTCATAAGGTTTCTCTCTGCCCAACTCTCCAGCTGTTTCAAAGTATTTATACTATTTATACTTGAATATTTAACTACGGCAGCATCTGAATATTTTTTCTTATGGAAAGTGCGTATTTTTTCTTCTAAACAACCCCTTTTGTGCTTTTTGGTTGTGAAGCTATCTATTATTTTTCAGTTTGTCATCCAAATACATTTAAATCTTTCTCTACAAAAGGTATTCTGTCTGTCTGAAAGGCAAAGTTAGGATTTATTTTGTGGACAGATGAGGAAACAGAAGTATTGAGAGAGATGACACAAACCTAAAGTATTGTCTGTATGTTAGTGACAGCCACTACTGTATTTCTCAGGCATCTGACTTACCCATTTTTAGCCAATCAACCTTTCCCAGTGCTTGATGAAGAGTGGTGATGCATCAAAGTGAACTGAAGCTCTGGTCTAGAATTATGATGCTAAAGAACAGGGAATATCTAGCAGCTCTGATGAGACCATATATGTCCTTAAATTAGGGGTTTGCATCTCCTTTTAGTTAATTTGTGTTTTGGGGATAAATTGGGGAACAAAGAGTAAGCTGGATAACTTCGTTCTTATAACTACACTTAAATTATGTGTATCAGCAGCAATGAAGTTGGTACTCTCATACACCAACCAGACCATATAGGCTCATGTCTTCATCCTTTGAGATTAGAGTGGCACACAATGCCGCATCTTGGGCTGCACCTTGTATTGATTTAAGCTAAAAGTACTAGAGAAGGCGTATACTTGCCTAAATAGAATTTCTTACTTGCATTTGTTAAATCCTATTGAACTTTTCAGTGACAAGAAATAACTTCATTTCATGAGCATGTTGTGTTTTTCAGGGCACTCTGTTTCTGGTTTAGGATCTTTGGTTGGTACTTCAATAGAATGATGATACGAATACGTTCTCAGGTGGGCTTTAAGCCCATGATGATGATAAGAGTTATTCTCAAATCATTGTTTGGAGGGAAGTATTAAAGTTGCTGGGAAGTTTTGCAAATTTCAAGTTCTTCAAAAGCAGAAGGTATATTATGAAGGCTATTAACTAGTTGTTTTTAAAAGTTATTCTGTTATATGGTGGCAGAAGAACTGAAACAAACAAAACTTTCAATTTGCCATTTTACCGTACGCAAAAGCGTTTGTACAGGATTTCATTGTCAGAACATCAGTGTAGTAAGAAAAAAACAGTGGTGCATATGCAGTTCTATTAGATTCATAGACGTGTAAGTGATGTGCTTTGTTTTCCTATGCAGTACATGGGAAGTGAACTAAGAAGCTAGCATTTCAGCAAGAATTACTTTGAAATAAAGTATGTAAGTTGAGTCCTTAGAGAGGAACTCTGCTACTGGAGCAAACTCAAAAGTAAAACCTATTTCAGAATTACTTTTTTGGATCCTCTTCCATTTGATTTGGCTCTCAAGCAATTCTTCCTCATTTCTTTGATGCTTATGGAAGATGATACTTTGAAAAAAGGCTTTCTTCTATACCTGAGCTGCTTCATAATGTTGATACTTTTCTTGAACTGTAATGAAACAATGTCTTAAGGATTTTATTGTGTAAATAGTTAGATGTCCCCAGTGAATGCCTGAAGTAACAACATTGGCCTGTATCCAAAAGTACCTTGATGCTAAGTTCTGCTCAAACATAAGTTTTTCTAGTTTGCAGGAAGAAGTTATTCTTTTATAGGTAGCTATCTTTGCACAGGAATTACGGAATGAGAGCAGGAGAATGAATTGTGAGATACATGTGTAGTAAACTAATACTGTGTTTTGGGTTGCTCTTGAAAAGGTCTTCGTTGTATACATCCATATGCTACTGCCACCTCTGCCTGATGTGGATGCATGTGCAGGCTTGCATTAGTCTTTGAGGGAGCTTTTACGGAGAACAGTCCCTAAATAGCTGATTCACACCCACCTGAAAATACAGTATATGAAGACATCTTTTATTTGAAACCTAAAAGCATTAGTAAAGCTTTCATGCATAAATATTTATCTTTTTTTTTGTTTTGTTTTGTTCCCCAGAAGGAAGCAGGCTTGAGGACTTGTGTTCCTTGTGCTTCCCTCTCTGTGTTTTCCCTGAGTCATTTCCTGAAGTAACTTTTGAACCTATTGATAACTTAATTAGATTTGACAGGAGAGTTGTAGTCTAAATTTACCAAGCTTGTACAAATTTACTGGAAACTCATGAGCATACGAGAGAGAAATCCACTGTATCACCTTGAGGAAGGCAAAAGATGTAGCATGAATTCACTACCTGTCTAATCTGCTTGCTCATCTGCTAGCTCCTCAGTGTGCAGGAACAGGCTGTCTCAACACATGCATTGTACTGCCTTGTACAGATGCTGGAACCTGAAATGATACTTGCTGCCTTTATTTTCTTCAGCCAGTGATGAAGGTGCAGGGGCAGGAGGTAAGGGTGGAGCAGGGAGGAGGACATGGTAGGAGACAGGTAGGAAAAACTATATTGGGAGTTGGTAAAAGTGTTTTGGTAAGGGAGCACAGGAGGTGTATGTAGCACGATAGATCTCTGTGGTATTGCTATGGGTGGTACAAAGTACAAAATCCATAGGACGACAGGCTTTTTCTCTTCACATAATGGCTTGTTTAGAATAAGCAGTTTACTTGCAATGTACGTGCAGCTTATGAATTGCATGTGAAGTACATGTAAAACATAAGAAACTATCAACAAATGAGGGAAAAGGTATACTTGTAACAGTTCCAGAGAAAAGAAGTTTAAGAAAATGCACTTATATAGATTGCAGGGTGTCTATGGTCAGTACAGATGTGAGTGCTAGTTTTAGTGTTCATAATATGTGTAAAAATGGCAATTCTGTCTAAGTGGGACACCTCTGATTGTACAGGCTGTACAAACTTGTAATGGACCCTAAAAACCTATGTGGTTGTCTCTCCCACTGTTGAAGTTCATGCTGCCAACTGTGTAGGTACACCTACAATTAAAGTACTGCAAGCGCATCTATTTGTGCTGTGAATGCATCTTCATTTTGCTGTACAGCTATCCTGCTGGGGTAAACACCGTCTTAGAAAACCTGCTTTGTGCTTACAGTCTTCAGAACATGGTGGAAGTTCACTCTGAGCAAAATATTGTTGTCACTGTGCTAGTCTTGGAAGCTGGGCTGTAGATAGTGTTTTTCACTTTGGACTGCAAAATTGTTATGAAAGCCATCATTAACTTATCATCAATGGTTCTCAGTCCTGAGACTGTACATTTTCTGGGGACTTTCACTAGTAATATTTTTATACCAAAGAAACCAAAGGTTCCAGACAGTTTGTGGAACTTGAACTGTTGCAGTACTCTTAAACTCTATACTGCTACTGAGTTTTGCAAACATGACTCCATACAACAAACACCAAATTGTTCTACTATTTTTAAAATGAATTTGAGAGTCTTTTCATTTTCACTTTTGTTCATATACATCTGAAGTTGTCTGATCTAACCTTAGTTTTCAGTTATGAGCGTCGGTCTTCCAAGAGTTAGTAGAGAGCTAATGTGGTAAGGAAGGCTACCAGTATTACTTAGAAACAAGATTTGTTTCCTTACTTTCTTACTAACCAATGTGAGAGGGTGAAAATGCTGAGGTGGTCTTTTGCTCCTCTCTCCTGCAAAATACGTTGTTTATCTTAGATCTCAGGTACTAGGAAGAAGTTGAGAGGGTTGTTGCTATGGCATAGCCATTGTGCTGATGCCACTCTGCTCATTTATGAAGGAAATAACATCTACACATTAAACAAACTGACCCTGCTGGCTCCAGTGTTTGCTATTTTACCTGAATTGGTTTGAACATACAGTGCTTTCAGTGTAGTTGGTCCGATAATGAACTGTTCTTATTAAGTATTGTCACCTTCCCCAACAGGAGCAAGGCAGAGAAACCTCTGTGGTTGTTACAGAAGTAGTAAAGCATATGACTGACCACTGTGAGAAAATTTGAGCTGTAGAAAACTCGACTACAGCTGCTAACCCACAAAATATGTTGTGCTTTGCAGCCTATGGACTTTTCTAAGCAGTATTTACAACTCAAAAAAGAAAAACAAATCCTTCTTTTGTGCCATCATATGGTGTCTTCTCAGTGTGTTATTATGTGAAAGTTCTATTCCTGAATCCTTTTTTCATGACTGAGATTTCTTGTACCTATAATTTCACCCCATCTTCTCTTATACCTCTCTTATCCTTGCTGTTAACTGCATTGATGGACATTGCTTCTAATGCGGGAGTAGCTGAGAGAAGAAGAGCACTTCAAAAATCTATTTTCTAGTCATTTATATCAACCAAGCCTGGAAAGAAAAAATTCTTTTAGAAATGTGAATTAGGAATTAACTGCATAATGCAACTGATCTTTGTAGTACAGATTTCTTACTAAATTATAATATTAAATTATGTTATACAAGAATACGATCTCAAATTTGAGACTGGGAATGACCGGTATCTCCTGATACATCTTATATATAATTTTCAGTAAATATAGACTCCATAGTGAACAATACCAAAACCTGAGAAAGATCATAAATTGTGCTGATGTCTTTCTGGGATAAAATTCCCCAGCCATCAAGAAATATAACAAAAGTATTCTAGCCTACATTTTGTTCTGTTTTAATAATGTCCCAATGGCTGCTCTTTGGTGCCAACTTTGATCTCAGTTTCTGCAACAGGAGACAAAGATGGTTTTGCCCAGTGGGGTTTAATTTATGCAAATCAGCAGATGGCTTTGCAGGAATATGATTTGTTATGTTTCCTAAGTGGATGAGTTTGCTTTTTTAAATACCCTGGCAGCAACAGATTTGTCAATATCTTGCATTATATTTTTGAAATGGCCTTTCAATTACTTTAATTGTGGTTTGTTTGATTTTTATTTTTTTCCTCCTCTCTCTCTCCCCCTCCCTCCCTTGCTCTCTCTATAGATTCTGGGACTTTTCCAAGCCTAACCCTTTGCTGGAAACAGTTGAGCATCATACTGAATTTACATGTGGACTAGATTTAAGTCTTCACAACTGTGGTCAGGTAAGAGCTGGGATGAATTTACTTTTCACTTGCCTATTATAGCCACTGCAGTCATGGATGGTCTGCAGGACTCGGATCCTGAATAAGAGCCACCAGATTGCAGGAAGCTTCTGGAATTGAGTCTGGCTGATTGCTTATTAAATAAACCTCACTTCAGGTCCATATTTATTTATAAAGCAGTTACTTGCGTTGGGCAGGAGAGGACGGCGGGACAGACAGAATTGCAAAATCAGATAGCTGAAAGCCATGGTGAGTTCAGGGAGAATGAGGTAGTTTTGTTTCAGGAGGAGAAGTAATAGAGAAGGGCCTAGGACGCCTAGCTGAGATGCAGAGCTTTCTTCCATCTACTTAGAATATCAAGTTATACATTGGTAGTGTCACACATGATACCTAGACCTGGTTTGTCATAATATTTGGAGTACTAGAAGAGGGTTAATATGTAGTTAGAATTCTAAACTGCTCAGATATTGACGTGAATGAGTGGAACCCATTTTATCAGGGGCATTTATTTGTATACTGGTTGCAGCAGGATCCTCCTCTGCTTCTGTTGCTACAATCATTTCTGTTTTGCAAACAGAGGATTGTTATTTGTAGTATGAACTGTTTTTTCAGGTAAGAAAGGGAGAAAAATGAAAGTTAATTATTTTCTTTAAAACAAGAAAGACTATAGTTTTCACACAGAAATTACTGTCACTGGGTTAACTGTAACTAATACACTATTTAATGTGCCACAGATATCATTTGCATCTAGATTCCTTTCTAATTCGCAGTGAAATTAATTTTTTACCCCAGATAAAAATGACTTGTAACATCTGTGATGAAATTCTGATTGGACAAAGCTAATAAAACCGTCGTATTTCTGCTACTGATAAAAGGACACAGGAGGAAGATGTAAGTTCGGCCAAATACTTAGCTTAATGTATGTGGAAACATTCTAGCCAAATGCTAGTTTGAAGAGTTTCCTGCCTGGCTGCTTGTTCCCTTAATTCTGTTGCCTCAGAGGTGCTGCAGTAACTGTTCACAAGTCCATGCTGTGAACCACATAGGGGAATTTGTAAGGCTGAAAAAAAATTCACTAGTTTCAGGTTATTTTTCATTCAGGCAGGGCAAGAATAGCTTAAAGACCAGTTCCTGGGAATTAAAACTTCATCCCAATTAAATGCATAGGTATGATTCTGGCTGAATTGGGTCCGGAGGGAGCAGCAACAGTAGTGTAGTACATTAGAGCCTTACAGTGTTACATCACTGCATGCCCTGAGCCCAGTTCAGCTTCCCATGAAGTTGGTGTGGGTTTTGCCATGGATCTGAATGAGGTGTGAAGATTTTTCCTCATTTTGTATTGAAGATGTGATTACATCTTGATTATAAGCCAGTTGCAAAGTGTTGTGTTACAGGATGGGTCTCTGGATGGTGTTTTTAACTGTCTGGCTAGATATGACTTCTTTTTGTATGATTTATCTGTCAAACTTGTAGTTGCTGCTATGTGGATATTCTTTCTTTTGTAACTGCGATCTATGGAATAGCCTTCTTAGAACAAGGCCAAGTAAATGCTCATTAATGATAGATAATGAATTGAAAGCAAACAGCTGCACATGTACTTGTGTGTTGAAAAAGGGGAAATGATGGTGTGCATACCCATCTAAATTAGGGCATTTGTGCATCCAGGTATTTTTTTTTTCCAGGCAGAAATTCTAGAAGTCCTATGTTGGACTTAATGCACAAAATCCATAAATCTGGGGTATATATCCTATATACTGCATGCCAATGTGCCTTTCAGACAGAACTTTGGCATCTGCAGCAGCTTTAATATTCATCTGTTTTCTTCTGTTGACTTGACTTAATGTATTTTGAGGGTTAGATATCACAGCAATGCAAAATGTAAGCATTCTGGTTTTTAAAAGAAATTTAAAATCCTGTCATAGAATTAAACTGTAACTACGAGATAAAGAGTGAACACTTATTGAGTAGTTGCTTCTAGCATGAGCACTTGCAGCCTTTCCCTGGCACCTCCATTGGTCAAACAAAGATTATTTGCTTAAATTTTACGCTGCTGTTCCCAATATGTGGGTTCCCTTCATGTCTGCTCTCTATTGAGACCTGATAATGAGCCCCTCTCATTGTTCTTCATGCGTTTGTATGATTTGTGATTTTTCACTGTGTGCTTTATGAGGAGTTACAACCTGAGATTTGAACTGCTTCTCTCCTCCATGCATGCAGGGTATTTTATTCGTAATGGACAAGCTATTCATTTATAGTCAAATTAAGTACCATTCTGGTCATTAACCTTTGCTTTCATTCTTAATGATATTTTTGTTGTTCAGCCAGATGACATTTTCTTTGGCTGTGCCCAATGAACTTCAGTATTTTTGAAGTATCTTTTACATGTCAAGAAACAAACAATCTATACTTTCGAAAAAGTGATCAAAATAGATACTGTGATTAAGTGTCTGATCTAGGAATTATAAGACATTCCTGTGGAACGGATTGAGCTTTGAACAGAATACATAGGCAGAGAGTAGGTATGTGGAGGCAAGCTCGTTCTTGTACAGTATCCTGCTAAGGGGAGGCAACATGTGGGAGAGAGATCTGGTCATAAGGAATGGGTCCCAGGTTGTGAAGGTAAGTATTGCCTAGATGAAACAGAAAACTCCTTTGTGCTTAATGTAGATTCTGATAGCTATTTTGGGGTATCTGCCTCTACATAAAGTTATGGTTTGTTGACAGCTTTGCATTTTAATAAAATCAACTGTGGTTTGGGTTTGTTTTTTTTTCCCCACCATAATGTTAGCATCAGGTTCATAACAATTTCAGACAACTAACAAACTTTGAGGTGCATAGAAAAATGTGCATTTTACAGTGCAAAGCATAAACAGAAATGGTCCTTATGATATTCAGGGTATTTCTCTGTTAAACTGCAACTGTTGATGTGAGACCTTCCAAGGCAGTGTGTCTAGAAGAAAATACTCCCAGCTCCAGCTTTCAGCCAAAGTAGCTTTGGCACGCGCAAGAACAGTGGGAAGACCCTAAGCACCAAAAATCTTTTAAATTTTTAATGGTGTACTGTATTAAGAACTGAACAAATCCATTTACCTTGTCAGCAGCACTGAGATGCAGTTTTTCATTTAAAAGCAGCCTTTTTCTTCTGCTGTAAGTTGAATGTGATATGGCAGTCATGAACTAATTTCAGTTCTCTTTTAGGAAATCCATCAATGACACAGATACAAAGTACAGATACTGTGAACATTCCCTTCTTGTCTTGATTCTGAAATGGTTTCAATAAATATGTAAAGAATAGAAAATACGTATGTACCATACATTTCTTTAAATCATACGCAAAAAATATCCAACCTTTTCTGTTGTAGTTCTAAAGCTGTATTTTGCTTAACGCAAATGTAAGAAAACTTGAAGCTCTGAATTTTGTCTGAAAACGTTTCTCAGCCTACAGATCACTTCTGTTCTGAACTCTGTAAAGCAGCCAGTGGAAAGTACGAATTAATGCTTTCCATTGAGCCAGGCTTTCTGTCTTGCTGCTGAGAACAGCATTAAGTATTTAATGGGAATAGGAGAGGAATCTTTCAATTTCTCTGTACTTTTACACTATGAACAATGACATTCCTAATTTGCAAGGATACGCGATTTTCAACAGAAGTGATGGCAAGTGGCGGTGTGGCTTAGAATGCTCGATACATGAAAAGCGCATTGTACATCTGTGACATGCCAAATCAGAACAGGACTTCAACGATATACAATACTGAGATGCCTCCTTTGGAAATTAAAATTGTTATGTAGCAAATGAGAATAAACCAAATGTCAGCTCTCTGGTCCAAAATCATAGAATAGAATCATAGAATAGTTTGGGTTGGACGGAACCTTTATAGGTCACCTCTTATCTGAATGTGTATTAAAGTCTGGGGTTTAGAATAACTTATGTACAACACAAATAGTGATCATAGAACTATTTAGGTTAGAAGGGACCTTAAAGATCATCTAGTTCCAACCTCCCTGCTGTGGGCAGGGACACCTCCCGCTAGACCAGGTTGCTGAAAGCCCCATCCAACCTGGCCTTGAACACCTCCAGGGATGGGGCATCCACAACTTCCCTGGGGAACCTGTTCCAGTGCTTCACCACCCTCATAGTGAAAAATTTCTTCCTAATATCTATTCTAAATCTACCCTCTTCCAGTATGAACCCATTACCCCTCGTCCTGTCACTACATGCCCTTGTAACAAGTCCCTTTCCAGCCTTCTTGTAGGCCCCCTTCAGGTACTGGAAGTCTGCTCTAAGGTCTCCCTGGAGCCTTCCCTTCTCCAGGCTGAACAACCCCAACTCTCTAAGCCTGTCCTCACAGGAGAGGTGCTCCAGCCCTCTGATCATCTTTGTGGCCCTTCTCTGGACCCGCTCCAACAGGTCCATGTCTTTCCTACGTTGGGGGCTCCAGAGCTGGATGCAGTACTCCAGGTGGGGCCTCACGAGAGTGAAGTAGAGGGGCAGAATCCCCTCCCTCGACCTGCTGGCCACACTTCTTTTGATGCAGCGCAGGATACGGTTGTCCTGGGCGCAAGTGCATGTTTCCGATTCATGTTGAGCTTCTCATCCACCAACACTCCCGAGTCCCTTGTGGATTTAAGATTCACTTACAGTTTTCTTTTACTGTGGTTGTATGTGTTTGGATGGTAATTACAGTACAAATTAACAGCTAGCTGTCTAAATAGCTGTTTGTGTCAACATGGTTTGGGAGGCAAACTTGTTTTCGTCGGCCCTCTGTGTGGCTGCACCTCCTTGTGTAAATATTCCCCCCCCGAGTAGATTAGTTCACATCAAACTGGTTTCTGTCATTTCTTCAAAGCACCTGGACCTCTGGGATGTGTTGATGAAAGAAAGGGCCTGGCCACAATTCTGTATTGCATTTGGAGATGGCAATAGGCGACACGGCAATACACACACGATACCAAATAGTATGGAGACAGTGATAATACCAGTGCAGTACTCATGAAACCAG